ATGAGAAGCGTGATGGCTCATCCAAGTCTGTGAACGTGGTCGAGGATGATACTTCTGATTGCAGTGAGGGTGATATGCTTTCTATTTCAACGACACAATTGACGGATGCTTGGATTCTTGATTCTGGATGTTCTTATCACATCACGCCAAATAGGGAATGGTTTTCGACATACAGGCCGGTTAATTCTGGTTCGGTTTATTTGGGTGATGATCGATGTTGCAATATTGTTGGTATTGGTGATGTCAGAATTAAGATGCACGATGGCTCTGTTCGGACGTTGAGTGGTGTTCGACATATCCCAGACTTGAAGAAGAATTTGATTTCCTTGGGCACTTTGCACAAGAATGGTTTTATCCCTAAGGCTGACGAGGATAGGGAAACCATTCGGATTGTTAAAGGAGCATTGACTGTGATGAAAGGCAAGATGACTGCAGGGAATATCTACAGATTGTTAGGGAGTACCGTTGCAGGTGGAGTTCACTCTGTTGAGTCCTGTGATGATACGACAAAATTGTGGCATATGCGCCTTGCTCATCTTAGTGAACGTGGTATGGCAGAATTACACAAGAGAAACTTGTTGCATGGTGTCAAAAGCTGTAAGCTCGACTTTTGCAAGTATTGTGTTCTTGGTAAACAGACTAAAGTCCGTTTCAAGACTGCGAAGCACACAACTCAAGGGATTCTTGATTATGTGCATTCTGATGTATGGGGGCCTTCCACGACATCGTCTTTGGGTGGATCTAGGTACTATGTTACTTTTATTGATGATTTTTCACGGAAAGTTTGGGTGTATTTTTTGAAACAGAAATCTGAAGTTTTTGAGAAGTTCAAGCTGTGGAAAGCTGAGGTAGAAAACCAAACAGGACGAAAAATCAAGTGTTTGCGGTCTGACAATGGTACGGAGTACACAGATTCACAGTTCCTACAATTCTGTAAGGAGCATGGGATTCAGAGGCATTTTACAGTGCGCAAGACACCACAACAGAATGGTGTTGCGGAACGAATGAACAGGTCGTTGAATGAAAGAGCCAGATGTTTGCGGTTGAATGCGGGGCTTCCCAAACACTTCTGGGCTGAGGCTGTTAACATGGCGTGTTACCTTATCAACAGATCGCCAAGGGCATCGCTGGCTGGGAAAGTTGCAGAAGAGGTATGGACTGGTCATGATGTTAGTTTTGATAACTTACGGATTTTTGGTTGTCCTGCTTATGTGCATGTACCTGCTGATGAGAGATCCAAACTTGATGCAAAATCGAAGGAGTGTATTTTTCTGGGTTACAAGAAAGGTGTCAAAGGATTCAAGTTCTGGGATCCAGTTGCGAAGAAAGTTGTGATTAGTAGAGATGTCGTTTTTGATGAACAGTCTATGTTGCAGCAGAAGCAAGACACGACAGTGGTAGATTTCGAGCAGTTTCCAGTTGAGAAACCAGAAACTTCTCAACCGACTTCTGGTGGTTCCACTACGGATGATTTGCAGGATTATAGTCTCGCCAGAGACAGGGTGAGACGGACGAATATAAAGCCTCCAAACAGATTGGGTTTTGAAGACTTGGTATCTTTTGCACTTACTGTTAGTAGTGATGATCCAATTACTTTTCATGATGCCGTTACTAGTCAGGAAAACGACAAGTGGATGGCAGCCATGGTTGAGGAGATGGAGTCTTTGAATCACAATCGCACATGGGAGTTAGTTCCCCTTCCTGAGGGTAAGAAGCCGATTGGTTGCAAATGGGTGTATAAGAAGAAACCAGCAGTAACAGAAAAAGAGGGGGAGAAGTTCAAGGCTCGTTTGGTAGCGAAGGGTTTTTCACAGCAGAAAGGAGTTGATTATGATGAAATCTTTTCTCCTGTGGTCAGGCACACTTCAATCCGAGCAGTACTTGCATTGGTGGCTAGTTGGGATTTGCATTTAGAGCAGATGGATGTTAAAACTGCTTTTTTGCATGGTGATTTAGAGGAGCAGATCTACATGCGGCAACCTGAAGGTTTCACTCAACCTGGAAACGAACATTTAGTTTGCAGATTGAAGAAATCTTTGTACGGGTTAAAACAGTCTCCGAGACAGTGGTATAAACGGTTTGACTCCTATATGATCAAGATTGGCTACAACCGATGTGAGTATGATTGTTGTGTCTATGTTAAGAGCCTTGATGATGGTTCTTTTATTTTTCTATTACTGTATGTTGATGATATGTTGATTGCTGCGAAGAACATGGATGATGTTATCGGTTTGAAAACTTTATTGAGTCAGGAATTTGATATGAAAGATTTAGGTGCTGCAAAGAAAATTCTTGGAATGAAATTTGCAGGGACAGAGACTCAAGGAAACTGCGGCTATCTCAACGGGTTATGTTGAGAAAATGCTAGAAAGGTTTGCGATGAGCAGCGCAAAACCAGTTAGCACTCCATTGGCGAATCACTTTAAGCTCTCATCAGAACAGTGCCCCAAGACAGATAAGGAAGCTGAAGATATGGCAAAGGTTCCGTATTCTAATGCTGTTGGCTGCTTGATGTATGCGATGGTATGTACTCGTCCTGATTTAGCTCATGCTGTTAGTCAAGTTTGTAAGTACATGTCTAAACCTGGTAAGCAACATTGGGAAGCAGTCAAGTGGATCTTTCGGTACTTAAAGGGTACTGTGGGACATGGAATTGTTTTTGGGAGTCAGCGGGATAACCCTTTGGTTGTAGGATATGTGGATTCAGATTATGCAGGTGACTTGGATAATAGAATATCTACGACAGGGTATGTGTTTACTCTTGGTGGAGGGCCTATTTGCTGGAAGTCTACTGTTCAATCTGTCGTGGCACTATCTACAACTGAAGCTGAATACATGGCAGCGGCTGAAGCTGCAAAAGAAGCTTTATGGCTTACTGGTTTAGTGAAGGAGTTGGGTGTTCAACAAGGTGGAGTTCAGTTGCTTTGTGATAATCAAAGTGCTATTCACTTGGCTAAGAATCAGGTGTATCGTGCTAGAACTAAACATATTGATGTAAGGTTCCACAAGATCAGAGAGTTGGTTGCATCTGGAGAGGTTTTGTTTCAGAAGGTACATACTGATGAGAATGCCGCTGATATGTTCACCAAGCCAGTTACGACAGACAAGTTCAAGCATTGCTTGGACTTGTTGAATGTTTCGAGTTGTTAAAGAAGCAAGGTAACCCAACCCACATTGAAGTTTCCAAGGGGCAGGATATTCGCCAAGGTGGAGATTTGTTATGTATGGCTCATAAAAAGTCTCGTTGTGGGGTTACGAATTATGTGGGTTGGGGGTGTGGGGGGCGCAGCCCCCGCGGTACGGTACAGGGTTGATTTTGTAATTTATGTACCAGGGTTTTCTATTATAAATAGAGATGTAACCTAGACCTAAAATATCATTGAATAAAACTTCTAGCGCCGCCTAGGCACCGAGGACGTAAGCACATTGCCGAACCTCGTAAAATTCTCGTGTTCTTTCGTTTTCTTTACCCGTTTTCGTCAACAAATGGCTATATCCAATCTTTACCGTAGAAACAATCACCACCGGACAAAATTAGTTGTGCATACCAGAGATTCCCATGGTGATCCCTTCCTTGTTTTATCCCAAGGTATGTTTTCGTTTTTGATATTGGCGATTCTCTCCTTAAATTTCCATTTGGTTAAATTACAAAAGATATAACTGAATTTAAGGCATTGAATTATTTATACTGTTGAACTTTTTAATTTTACCCATCTATATCATTAAACTTTGATTTCCGTTTAAACTTTGTCACTAGGATGTTAAAATCCAAACAATGTGATGGCATTGACAAAACGACGTTGTTTTGTTATTGGTATTGATGCTGGAATGATGTCGTTTTAGGCACTAAACTTTTAAATAGATCGATTTTGGCATTGTACTTTTTCAGTCGCTGTCGGCAAGCAATCAACATCCAACACCAATTATCTTTCATGGCAAAATCGACACCAAAACGTTCCCATTTCACTCGTCTTTCTTCTCATATGATTTGTTTTTCGCATAACTTACTTAAAATCGACAAAATCGAATAATAATAAAAAATATTATTTTTAGGGGTTTGGAAGCTTTATTGATTTGCAGGATTTGTGTGTTTGTTCTAAAATTTGAAAGATGAGATGCATTATTTCGAGAAGAAGAATAACATACATCAAAACTAGCCTCATTAGAAGGTCATTGGAAGAGATTAGAGTATTAATATGTAGAACTTTTAAATATATTTTCATCGATTTTGAGTAGGTTTCATGAAAAATCAATCTTAGGAGAATAAAGACGAGTGAAATACAAACGCTTTTGTACCGATCTTGCCATGAAAGAAAAACGGTGAAGGGCAGTGAATGGCTACCGACCACGGCCGAAAAATGTAGTGCCAAAAAATCAATTTGTTTAAAAGTTTAATGGCAAAATCGATACACCCCTAAAGTTAATACCTAAAACGACGTCATTTTGAGCATCAGTAGTCATCGCCGAAACATATTTTTTAATCCACGTCATCACAATGACAGAAATATATGTTCACGTCACCTTCGTATCATTAAAATTTAAAGAACTAGTGGTATAATTAAAGCGGAAATCAAAGTTAAATGGTATAATTGATAAAATTAAAAGTATAATGGTATAAATAATACAACACCTAAAGTTCACTGTTATCTGATGTAGTTTACTTATTTTTAATGAAAAGGTCCTCTAATATACTCTTACTGAATCGGTAAGGACGAGTCTTCTCAAGCCAAAGGCATTGCTACCATTGTTGAAGAATTCAGGTGAAGTGTTATCCTCATCTATGAGAATAATGATTCTGCACGAGAAATCCTTCCTTATCTGATCACTTCTTTCGAAAGAGACCGATACTCGTATCGCCCTTTTAACGTCGTCTACCGATTGAGACGTCATTGAGCAGCTCAAGATGCTCATGAATTTGCATACGAGTGTTTATGTGGTGCATATATCACCGATTCTCGCATCTCGACTTTTCTTAAACGACAAACGGCTTGGAATTTGGAATGGTCGGTCAAGGGTATGCTTGGATCACGACTTCTATGATTACAAATTTCGTGAATTCAATGGATCCATCAGTCATTGAGTCAATGCAGGGGGTGGTGGGATTCAAACCTTACATTCCAGCGTCCAAGGCGGTTCGCAGATTCGAGATCAGGTGGAGTAAAAATCTTGATGAAAATCAAAATTTACAGGAAATGGAACTAAATGTGTATGGTATGTGGACCTATGATATAGTTCACGCTATTGCAACAGCAGCAGAAAGAGTGGCGACTGGACATCCTCATATCCTACATCAAGAAACCAGATTGAATATGAACTTCACCACCATCCTTACATCTCAAAGTGGTTTCCTACTTATGAATGAGATGTTGCAGAGTAGATTCCAAGGCATAGGTGGTGCCTTTCAACTTACCGATGGCAGGCTGATCCAAAGGGAATTCGAGATCGTAAATGTATTCAGGGGAGAAAGAACAATTGGTTACTGGAATCTAGAAAACGGGATTACCTCAATAATGAAGGAAGAAAACCATACTGAAACCAATTTGACATCATCTAGTAAGCTTGTAAGTGTTATTTGGCCTGGAGGAACCAAGGGCATTCCAAATGGTTTGTTTCTACATAGCAAGAGGTTTAGGATTGTGGTTCCAGTAAAGATTGGATTCCAAGAATTGATTAGGGTGGTTCGTGATCCCCAAACAAATGAAATAACTGTAACTGGATTCTGTGCTGATGTGTTTAAGGAAGCCACTAAAAGTTTGGATTATGAAGTACATTATGAGTTTATCCCATCTGTTAATGCCGACAGAATAAAGTCGACAACTTACGAGGTTTATCATATGTTAAGAAACCAGCTGCTACATATAGAAACTTGAATTTATGAGCTTATATATGCATGTTTACGTTCATGTACTTGAATGTGATGTCTACATATTCTTTCTTGTGATCAATGGACTAGAATTTTGATGCTGTTGTGGGGGATATAACAATCCTTGCCAGCAGATTTCCGTTTGTCGATTTCACGCAGCCGTTCACTGATTTAGGCATCGGAGTTGTAGTGCCGAAAATCAACAAGAACAACATCTGGATTTTGCTGAAGCCTCTTTCTGCAGATTTGTAGATAACAACTAATGCTTTCTTTATATTCACTGGCATTGCGGTTTGGCTTATCGAACATAGCATCAATGATGAGTTCCAAGGCTCACCATCTGAGCAAATCTGAACCGTCTTTTGGTTCTCATTCTCAACTCTAGTATTTGCCCACCGTAAGTTCTATCATGTTAAACTTAGATAACCTTTCTGTTTGATGCCTGTACGTTCCCATACATGAATTTAGTTAACTGTAAATTTTCTTTACTTTTTACTCAAAACTGCAGAGGAGAAGTTGAGCAACTTGTCAAAGTTTGTGGTGATAGTATGGGTGTTTGTTGTGCTTATAATAACCGCAAGCTACACTGCAACTTTGTCTTCCATGTTAACAGTCCAGCAGATTCAATCGAGCTCAAGAGACGCTGGTGTAGGCACCAGTGCTGCTCTTTTGCTTTTAAGAGGTATTAACATATCCACATACGAAAATCCCACGATAAAGCCATACCATAAGCCAGAAGAATACGCCGATGCTTTAAGAAAGGGAAGTAAGAATGGCCGAGTGTCGGCCATTATTGATGAAATACCATACCTTAAAATATTCCTTGCCAAGTACCCTTCTGATTACACCATGATAAAATCCAAGGCAACTACAGGCGGTTTTGGCTTCGTAAGATCCCTCTAATCTGTCATGATTTTCATGTTTCATCGATTTGCAGCAATGGGTGCTGATTTATTTTTCATGTTATTAATCGTAGGCTTTCCCTAAAGGTTCCCCACTTGTCCGAGAATTGTCAAGTGCAATTTTGAGGCTAAGGGAGGAAGGGAAGCTGAAGATGATGGAGAATAAATGGTTCAACAGTACTGAATCAATCTTCACAAACCAAGACTCGGCAAGCAATGCCAGCAGGCTAACCGTTCATAGCTTTGGGGGTTTGTTTCTTGTTACTGCCATCTCTTCACTTCAGCTCTACTCGTATGCCTCTGTCAGAAGCGAAAATCCATCTCAGTTCCTACCTCAACAGTGGCATAAATTCTGTAAAAGGCTTAGATGACCCAACTCATCACATCATTTACGGTCCAGCTAATAAAATTCATCTATCTCAAAATAATTATTCACTTCTTATTTATATGTTTGAAAGATGTAGAGATTCATCTTAAAAAAATAAAACTAATTGATCTTATTAGTTGTGATAATGGATTACATGATAAGTTAAAAAAAAATTAGCTGACCCTTATTCTCATATGTAATGGGATAAGGGGAGGTAGTATAATAGGCTGCCCCCAACACCAGGTTGAGAGTAGCTTATCTTCGAATTATGAATTGTCCACTGTGAGACTCGATCCCACGACCCCAAATTTAATAGCCTTATGCTCTACCAACTGAGCTGGACAGACAATCTACGTAATAAGTTAGAAATATCTAATAATTTTTGTAAAGGTCTACTTGAAGTCTTCAATGTGAAAATAATAATGAGATAAAAAGAACAAGGGTCAATTACAAATTTCATCACTCAGCTATTTTCTTATTTTTATTTTTTAAGTTTAAAATTTTTAATTTAATCACTAAACTTTTGAATTATTCATGTTTTTGTCACTCCGTCAATTAAATTATAAAATTTGTGATAACATGAATTATTTTATTATTTTTATTATAATATGACATTTATATTAATATTTAATGTCAAGTAAGATTTAAAATAAAAGGAAAATAAAATTTAAATCTATAAACTCTAATCCCAACCACAAGCCCCAAACTCTCATCGGCCACCCACATCGTCCTAGCCCTAAACCTCATCAACCATCCCAAACTCTCACCGACCTCACTCTCATCATCTCAGCCCTGAAATCCTCACACTACCTTGATCCTTAAACCTTAAATCCTGATCGACTTTACCATCATAAACTCCAAAATCTTTATCAAAAACCTTAAACCCTAAAATTCTCGAGTTCCGATACATCCAAATCTCTTCGTAAATACTAGCAATTAAAGTATGGCGCGTCTAATGGAAATTAACATATCTTAATCAGACAACAATCATATGGCGAAAAAGGGCATGAATCAGGGCTATTCTATTCGGGTTTTAATTTGGTTTCTATGGCTTTTGGTTTGGTTTCCCGAGGTTTAAACTGAATGATTGAAAAGGAAAAGCTTTCATTTGGTTTGTATCAATGCAAATGGTGATCGGAGTATGACGACGTACGGAAGAGATGATATCAACTTTAAATTTGTGGAGTTTGAGTTGTTTTCCAAGTAAAGGAATAATGGATTCGTATTCATAAGGGTGAGGCGAATTTGGTGGGATATTTTGATACTCATCGGTCTTCAGCGATAGTGACTAACAGTAGCCAGCGCAATGGTCAGATACTGGATTGCTTTAGGTTGAGAGAGAAAATGAGAGGAGGGCAAGAAGAAAGAATAAACAAGGGAAATGAAAAAAATTAGGTTTTATATGAAATTAAAATGGTGACATTTTGTACTAATTTGGTTTTCGTAAGGATCTAAACCAATTTCATTTTGGTGTAGGTTGTCATGTCATAACACTTTTAATTATTTAATGGTAACATAATTAAAATACGAGTAATTTAAAAGTTTAGTGATTAAATTGAATAGTTTTAAATTTTAATTATCAAAATAAAATTAAAAAGATAGTTGAATGATAAAATTTATAATTTACCCAAAAAAAATAAATTTCAAGCTATCCTTTAAAAGAAAACTTATTAAACCTCTAATGTACTACTCGCCTATCACTCTATTCTTATTATTATTATTATAGTTTTATATGTGAAAATAAGAGTAATAGTCATAAAAGTACATTTAAATTATTGATAAAGTTGTTTATTTTTATTTTTTTATATTTTTTTAAGTTTTGGATTCTAGATTCACTTAATAAGAGTAGTTTTGTCGTACGGTAGTTTAATTTAAGACTAAAGAAAGACGCAACTGAAAATGTTAAAAAATTAGATTACGCGCAACTTAAAATGTTAATTTTTTAACATTTTCAGTTGTGTCTTTACTTAGCCTTAAATTAAATTGTCGTTTCTTAGATATTTTCATTTGACAACCACTTCTTTCCTAGTATTTCCTCTCCACTCTAGATAGCACTAGGATCCACTAAAAATGAAGGATAATACTCCTAATGAATCTTTATTATAACTCATGATCTAAGAGAATATAAAAGAACAAAAAAAATAACTTTAACAAAATTATCTACAATCTAACTCAAAACATATATAATAAGCCGACATAATACACATGACAAATCGAACGGACTATGATCATAATTCATAAAACATTTTATATTAACACACTGAATTAGTTCAAAGTGTACGTAATTTTTAACTCATATAACTTCAAGGTTAGTAAACGCATCATGTTTCCATGAATAATTTCCCCGTAGGTTATAGAATTGTCTTCCTTCACAACGCATAAAAGAGTAATTATAATCGTAATCGTATTTAACAACATCATGAACTTATTTTTAAATTATTGAGAAAATAGAATTACTATAAAATAAAAACATCTGTATTACTAACGAGTGTTAGTACAAGTGGTTGAAACTCAGGAATCTGAGTTTGTAAGGTCAAGTTCGAATTTTATCATTGTCACTCTTAGTGAACAATCTGTAAATTATTATATAAATTTCAATTGAGTTTTAATTATACTCTGACCTAGACTAAGGAGCCACTCCTAATTTAAATTTTTTCTATAAAAAAAACACCATTATTATGAAAACACAATTAAAAAATATATATTTATAATTAAATTTAACTGTGGCTTATCTAAACCATTTTCTTAACACTTAACAGTAAATATGTGTTGATTGATGTAAACGTTGAAATAGATGTTACCTTCTAAAATTATTATAATTCTTTAATATTTATACATTTGAATATCAAAGTAGAAATCAATCAATAATTACTTTCTTAAAAAAAGAGAATTTGTGATAAAAAAATATATATTCCTTCAATTATAATCTGATATAAAAAATAATACTTAAAAAATAGAAAAAAGAAGTTTTACGGTAGGAAAATTGGGAGGTGACTGGGACATTGTTCTGATCATTGTATTGTTTAGAAGTGAAAAAAGAATTAAGGGCAATTAAATAAAAGTAAATAGCGATTATAAAAAATAATGTTATTTTAATGTTTTGTAAACGGTAAACTACAAACTGATAAAATATTTAATCGGTAAAATTGTTTCTAAGAAAAAATACATATGAACCAGATCAAACCAAGTTAGGCAATTCTTACCTAATGTGAGATTTTTTGTATTATCAACATTAGGAGTGAGTATTTGGTTGAGTTGTTCTTGTTTCTGTTTAAATTTAATTATATGTAATATATATATATATATGTAATATATTATTTAATTTTAATTTAAACATTATTTTATAATCATATGCAATACATTTATATATTTTTATATGTAATATACATATGTTACACAAAGTTGATGAGCTCGATTAAAATTTAAAATTTAATTAAATAATTATTAAAAAATTAAATTATTATTCAATTTCTATTTTTTTAATTCGGATCATATTTATATATTTAAAAAATTAAAAATATTTTTTGGACCATCCAAGTTCCTAATGTTATAAAAATTACCACTTTATATGCCCATGTCGTCAACGGCGTTAATTTCTTCTGTTAGGTGACAAGTGTCACAATATGATAATTTTAATTTTTTTATATAAAATTAAAATATATATATATATGTTTTTAAAAATAAAACACGTAAATTTTGAAATAACCCTAAACCTTTGAAAATCTTTACTTCAACCTCTAAACCCACGTCGATTATCGTCCTTTACCGTTGACGAAGCCCTACTAGACCTCAACTTCCCCTGACGATCAAAACCTCTATGAAATCGTGATCGATCGACTACAAATCGACGTTTTATACCCCACGAACCCTAGGATAAAAATCATAATCCCACGCGATTTCGATAGCTAATCAACGACAACTATGGCGATGTATAAATATAATAATATTTTTGGTTTAAGTGCAAGGATGTGGGATGTTAGAGTTTATATTGCTTTAAGTGCAGCTGTATTCGGAGCTATCGTTGCTCTCGCAGCGGCGGTTGTCTTCATGATCCGATCGAAGAGGAAGAAGAACCAAAACTCGAGCAATTATGCAGATATGGAACTGCAACAACTTAGTTTCAGTGTAAGGACAGCAGCAAGTGATAAGAAAACCTCTTTTGAAGGTTCCCGGGAAGCTCTTGATGTTCATCTTGTGTCCCGAAAGACGCTGATGGTCGAGTCGTATGCCATCGAAGACCTGATGAAAGCTACCGAGGATTTCAATCCGAGTAATCAGATTGACGGAAACGTGTATCACGGTTGTCTCAATGGGAAAAACATGGCAATAAGGTGTGTAAAAACAGAACATGTTTCGAATATTGAGATTAAACTGTTGAATGATGCAACTCACCAGCATCCGAACATAATTAGACTGCTGGGAACCTGTGTAACCGAGGGTTCGAATTCGTTTTTAGTATTCGAATACGCGAAAAATGGTTCGTTGAAAGACTGGTTGCATGGTGGATTGGCGATGAAGAACCAGTTCATAGCTTCTTGTTATTGTTTCTTGACATGGAAGCAAAGGTTGAGGATCATTCTTGATGTAGCAGTGGCATTACAATACATGCACCAGATTATGAATCCAAGCTACGTTCATAGAAACATCAAGAGCAAACACATCTTCCTGGATGAAGATTTCAATGCAAAGATTTCGAATTTCGGGGTCGAAAACTGTGTCAAAAATGAAACCGAGTGTCCAGATGTTTCAACTAATCCAGCCACTTGGGACCTTGGTTATTTAGCTCCTGAGTATCTTCATCAAGGTGTGGTTTCACCGGCCATCGACATTTTTGCTTATGGCGTGGTTTTGCTTGAGATTCTTTCTGGGAAAACACCCATAGCCAGACCAGAAGAGAAGGGGGTAAATAATGTTTGGCTGTCTGAGAAGATCAAGGACATTTTGGTGTCGGAAAATGGAGATGAGATACGGCAGTGGATGGACAGTGCGTTAGGCGATAATTACTCGTTTGATACAGCTTTGACATTGGCAAATCTTGCCAGAGCTTGCACGGAAGAGGACCCTTCTTCAAGACCCGTTGCCGGAGAGATCGTTGAGAAGTTGTCGAGATTGATGGATGAATCTCCAGAAGATGAACATATGTTGATCTCTGAAAGCTCTTGCAAACCTCTGGTAAATTCATCAACAAACAAAACCTCTGAATAATCCATGTCCTTCAAGTATTAGTGTTGTAAACCGATATCTGATACAAGGATGGATCGAGGGGTGTTAAGATCATCCCTGAAATTTTCAAATTCTCATGTTGTTTATCGATCGTATATTCAATATGAATACATCATTCAAGTTGAAGTCACTCTGTTACCATAAAAAGTTCTAAAAGCTAATGTGAATCTTTTCTATATTCAGAGACACCAACTCTAAAAAGGAACCAAAATATATCTACAAAAGCATTGTCAACCATATATACACTCATAAAATGTACAATCATTCGGATTTCATCCATACATCTCTTAGGAGTTCATATCTAATAGCATTTTGGTAGCCGTTTCCCTTCGATATCCAGTTAGGCATTGATTGAACAGGTCATAATCGAAAGACATCGCTGAAGATTGAAGCTAAGGGAGAATTCAATTCATCGAGCTCATCGTCGCTTGTGTATGATTTTCTGAGGACCGATGACCCATTTCTTCTCAGCTGAGATTGGCTTCCAACTTCACCGATGATGCTAGTGACAGATGATGCTGAAGCTGGCGGATAAACCGGAGGAGATGCAACATACGGAAAATCTGCGACAAACCCTTCCCTGGCTTCAGCCGGATCCTGAAGAAAAATAGAAGCGCTGAGGTTTTCTTCATATCTTCAAAGTTCAGAGTGATGTTCTTTGCTTTTTAAGACACGGCAAACATACATAATCTATGTTACTCAAGTCTTGTGTGCAAATGTTTCTCCATGTACTTGGAAAGACTTTGGGAGGTCGTATTCTTGTGTTGATGTCCAAAAAATGTGTCATACAAGGATACTTAAACAAAAATGAAGAATCGGAGTAGCATAGGACATCCTCAATCGTATCAGGGCAAAACTCGTCCGGGACAAAGTAGTCGAGAACTCTCTTGATCAATGTTGGATCAAATGTTAGACATTCCTTTGAAAATAAAGAAAATAGCATGAATAATCAGTAGAGTAAGACCATTTCAACCCTGAAGCGTGTCTAACTAACTAAAGTTCGGGAGCCGAACCTCTTCCCTGATAGGTCTGCTCAGAAGCATGTCCTTGGGAAGCATCATGAGATCGCTCAAAGCATTAAGGAGATGGAAAGACCTTACAGATGTGTCTTGTCGCTCATCACTGCCATCTTGGTCATTCTCATCATCCATACCAAAGAGGTCTGTCAACCACCGAGACCAGTTTCCAATCTGACATCCACAAAAATGAAACTCAAACAAGAGTTGGTTTACTTCAGAGAGAAACCAAGGTCAACCTATAGTTACTTGGACACGATTATTTCAGTAAAAACGAAGAGTTGGAGCGACAAAGGCCCGAACCAATGAGGAAAAGTAGCAACGAAAGTTGGCCAACCTAGACTTAAATACAAGTGCAGAATGGTTATGACTTATAAAGGACCTCATCACCAGAATCACGAAGAACAGCATTGAACATAGCCACATCTAGTCTAGCTACGCATTGCTCCATTAACTAAATGCATGATAAAGGATGAATTATAACATATTTATTTTAGAAGAAAAAAATCATCAAAGGAACCATCACCGGTGATAGCTCCTGATACAATGACAAAGCAATGGTCAAAAAAATTATGAAAAGTGTTCAATTATTTAGCAGTCACCAGGGTCAGAAGCAAGGTAACAGTCACATTAACTCTTTCAGAACTGCATAATTTCTTTTTCCTTCAATGTGTGTGCAACATCTCTTATCGTATACAAATAACATTATGCTAATTAAAATGTTAATATACTAACAAGAAAGCTGTTAGTTTCAGATGTCATGCTTGTGTTCCATTAATTGACTCCTCTCAAAAAACATTACCAATCTAGACAGTAAATGCAAGCAGCTTGAACCGGGCAGAGTCTTTCACAGGCCTCCTCGAAAGCTTTCTTCCAATGATCTAACGAGAAGTTCATTTGGTCTTGGTAACTTGCACTGGACACCCTCCCATAGAGAGACATGGAAAACTAGCCATTTATAAATTATTTTTATTATAACTAAATTTAGTCACATGTTTATAAAAATAAATGTTTATAACTATTGCCAAGTCAAATGTTTAACTAGACACCCTCTCGTTGCCAAGTTCATTTGGTCTTAACTAAACATTTAGTTACTTGTATGATAGAACATATTTTTACAATATATGATAAAAATAAATATCATTTATATAAATAATACATGGAAAGTATGATTTTTATAAATAATTTTAAAAATAACATATACATAATAAGACATTAATTCAACCATTACCAAGTCAAATTTATTTTTCATTAATCGAACCCAAATAAATATGTATCTTCGCATATTTTCGGAAGATCGGCGAACAGACGACCGAAGTCACCGTTTCCTTTAACCATTTTGCGTTTTTCGTTTATTATTTATTTATTTTTCCTTTTTTTCGTCTTTGGTTCCTTTGGGGATCTCTCTGATCAATTTTTAATCTCTTCTGAAGTGAGTTCTTTCGCTATCTTCTCATCTTGGAGTTTTATTTTCTTTGTTTTCCTCTACAGTTCACGGATTCAACATTTTGGTGGTTCTCATTTATTTTTGTACTTCAGCTAAAACATTGTGTTGTTTCTGCTATTTTTCACTTTGGGTTTTTTTGGTAAAGCTAAAATCCAAAATTTGTCCCCCTTTTTGTGTTTTGGCAACAATCCTTTGATTTTACCAAAACCCATTTTTTGAAGTCCCCAAACATTTTCACTTTTTGGAGAATTAATGAATTTTTCACTTAAAAGGGAACCGTTTTGGAGATTTGAATATGTATCATATGAATTCTCAGTTTAATTTCTTCTGCTGCTTGCTTTTTTATGTTATGTTATTTAGATTGTTTTGCTTATTAAGATTCAGCCAATTTTACAGGAATATTAGCTGAAATGGCTGGAGGATTGATCCACCAGGTTTTAAGGAGGAAACTTCAGTCTCAGTCTACTGTAAGATACTTCCCCCTTTTGTATGTTTTGCATTGTCTGTGTTGCTCTGATTTTTAGTATTCTTATCCGAACCGGATACTTATGTCGGACATATGAATATGACTTCCAATGACCCTTTAAATAGATGAAGAACACGTTGAACATTTGCCCCACGTACTCATTAGTGTGAGAAACATGGTATATTATAGGCATAGCTGTACTTACCTGTAGAATGCAACATATGAAGACTATGATTTGCATAGTTCTTTCTGGATTTTCTTATATAATCTAGAAAATCTAGCTACATGTATTTTCCTCTGAGTAATAATAATGTTAAGTTTATATGAGGGTTCCTTCTTTCTGATTCTGTATTGATTCAATCTTGTGTGCATTATGGTTTGCAACTAAATGGAAGATATAATTTCGCCTAGAAATTTTCATCTATGTTGCTCAGTCCATTTTTCTTGAAGTCCCAGGTCTGACACATTTTTGGACATGACTATGAGGTTATGATCCTCTGATGACTCTCAAAAGATACGGAAAAATTAAGACAAAATTAGCCATACTTGTACCTGACACTTGTACCCGTTTCCAAGTAACATAGATTTTATTTTGCAGGTTCCGACTTTATTATGGTTTACAATAAGGAAATTTAATGAGGATGCAGGATATGCTTGTATGAGGACATTTTTACTCTTTGGAGCTGGTATTTCAGGTTTTCTAGGATTTGCAACAATAGCATCGGCTGATGAGGCTGAACATGGGTTAGAAGTTCCAAATTATCCTTGACCTCACAGTGGCATCCTCAGTTCATTCGACCATGCTTCGTGAGTTTTATGCCCCTCCTTAACTGAATAAACTTTAAAAGGTTTATCCAGATGTGAATTTTAACAATCCAGTATATATAGCCAGAGCTAGGCTGTCAACCTATCAGTTAAGTTCAAGACCATCAAGTCTTCAAATTAGTGATGGTTTCTTCCTCTTTAGCTTCTATTGCTTCTCATTCTCTGCACAAGGAGAAACCACATAAATAAGTCACGCCTTCCTATTGTGAGAATCAGATGTGTCGACCTTAACCCAAGACACATCTCTTCCCTCTTCTCTAGGAATCTATTTGAAATCTTTTACTACAATTATGATATTAGGTTAAGGCTTTTAATAAAATGTTTTAAATTCTTATAAAAAAATATAATTTTTTTAATTTTTTGTACTACAGTGATTGTGATATTAGATTAATTTTGGATGGTCAGGATTCGTTGTGGTCACCAGGTTTACCAACAAGTGTGTGCGTCCTGCCACTTTGTCTCTAATATCATACCGTGATTTGGTTGGTGTTGCATATACAGAGGAGGAAACAAAGGCTATGGCAGCTGAGATTGAGGTGATTGATGGACCTAATGATGAGGGTGAAATGCTTACTCGTCCTGGTAAACTGAGTGATCGTTTTCCTCAGCCATATGCAAATGAACAAGCAGCTAGGTTTGCTAATGGAGGAGCTTATCCTCCGGATCTAAGTCTCATTACCAAAGTAACTCTTGCCTTGATTTTTAGATCAATGTGGAAATTGTGGAGGGTATATTACTGAAGTATCCAACTTTAGGCTATCTTGTATAAACATAACATTAAAAACACCAAACCCTGGATCTCTATATCTTTGTAGAAAGATACCGTGGGTGATCAGGTCCTGATATTTGGCAATTGAGTGGATAGGGAAGAGAGAATGTGCTCTGAAGCAGGATGAAATTTTATGGCTCTTCGTATTCGGTCCATTTTAACTGCTGCTTTCCAACGAGAAATGTTATGGCTTTCTGGCGCAGCAATAATCCGTTTAATTTTTGCATGAGACATGAATTTACACCTTCTTAGGCTAACTGTGTTTGGTCACCAATGAATGTTTTTGGTTGAAAATAGTAACTAAAGTTGTCATACCCCAACTATATAGATTCGAGACGGGTTACATTATAACACGTACTTTCCTGGGGGAACAATTGCCATGCCTAAAATGCTTATTGATGGTGCCATGGAGTATGAAGATGGCACGCCTGCAACTGAAGCTCAGGTTGGTGTCTACTT